GGATCTCAGGTCATCGAGTCGGGTCCTCTGCTCCCACGGGCAGCATGACGCGCCGTCCAGTCCATAAACTGGTCAAGTCACTAGGCGTCCTTCACCGCCACCGGTCCTACTGGGAGGCTGTTCCAGACACGTGTTCTCTGATGGTTAGTAACAGTTTTCTCATTTTCTGCCTGAACGTTATGCCTGGCCAGTTGATACCCACTGGTTCTTGGGTCGGAGCAACTGTTCCTCCTCCTGATGCATTCAGTGATGGAGAGTAGTGATAGTCCCTCGCAGTCTGGGTTTTGCTGGTTCAGTCTCCTCCGTTCCCCTGTCTGCCCCTCCAGTTCCTCTCTGTCCCTGTTCCAGATTGAGTAATGGTACACTGGCAGGAATGAAACATAGCAGCGTGATTAAACCAGTATTTTGGGCCGCGAAGCAATGAGTTAATAAGACTGTAGAAGGAGCAGGGTCGCGATGCTTCCAAGCCCATTTTTCTTCCTGTTTCAGAAAATAAATGTATACATTTCTAGAGATTAAAATGAGCAAGTTCTCTCCAAAGTCCTGGGAACGAGGATGTTTTGAGTGGAAACTGCCATTTGACCTTCTCCCCTAGCTGTCTCCAGTCAACCTTTTTTTGCTTGCTTTCATGTCAGCATCGGGTCGGGGTGACAGGTCATCGTCTGACCTCAAGTCATAACAAAGAAAGGGAGTGGGGCCTCGTTGGGGAAAGCAGTAATTCCACATCCTTGGTTTCAAAACGGCGGATCTCCTTGGATGTTGAGACATCGGGGATTTTCTCTTTCCCTGTCTGCCCCCTTCCTTTAGCTGGTAGCTGGTTCATAACCACAAACAGCCATGAAAATATGGGTGGCCTTCAGTGGGATTACAGACTTATTTACAAAGAGCAAAATGATCTCACATACACAGCTGCTCCAAAAATGTGAGATGTCAGCAATGTAGCATGCTGGCTTGGGAATATTAGTCTTGAAACTCCGGCAAAGCTGGTGCATAACGAATCCTCTGTCTGTGCATCTTGGCCACTGTGTGCACAGGAGAAAGCACGTGCGGCAAGTGCTGAGAGGTGATGAACCAAAATCGTGCATGCCACAACTCTGAGCTTGGGGGGCGTTTGGTTTTGAACCCCGTCTCTGAGCTCTGCTGACTCGGTGACGATGCTCCGGCAGAACCGTGCAGGAGGCATCAGCAGTGTCCTAGATCTAGATCTGGGAGCAAACATCCAGCAGGAAAGAAACGCCTCCCAGCCACCCACAAACTGTTTCCAGGAAGGCCGTGTAGAGTTATACTCCCCTTGCTCTTGTGCGGTATGATGGCGGCAGATTGTGCAGTAACCACCCCAAATTATCCTGATTTAGTTTGCTAGATGCTGGACTCCTGCTGACTGTACTTTGCAGGCTGGGAGAGAGGCTGAAGCCTGCTGTGCATAAACATTATCCAGCCAGTCAGCCCTCCTTTCAAAGCATCTGGGTGGACCCAGGGGAGAAGGAAGCGGATCAGAGGCAGATAGCACCCTGCTAGCTGGGGTCAGGAGAGGCTGCAATAAGAGTCGAGGTGGGTCCTGCTGTTGTATCGCTCAGGTGTAAGGAAGAGCGCTCTGAAGCTCCCAACTCTGATTCTAGGATAGATGCACGCGAGGCTGCAGAGAGGCATGTCTGCAGGGTCCTCCCAGAAGGGGCAACTGGGCGATAGCTGCAGCTGGCTCTATGGTATTTGGTGATGGTTTCATTGTACTGTATTTATTGTATTGATGGAGGAGGGCTGGCTCATGTTGAAGTAGCCAGGTGCTCTGGGTGCCTTTGCTCAGTGCATGAGCTTGGACATGTCAACTCACTTTTCTCCATTTCAGTTTTCCCACCTGTAAAATGGAGCTAATGCTTCTGCACAGGCGGTGAAGCTAAATGCACCACGGTTTGCAGAGATTGGTGACTGGAAATAGAAGCAGAAGGACAAAAGTCTGTGTGCATTTGGGTGCAAGTGGATATTGTTTCAGCTCCTAGGGCTGAGATCCTGGGGGTTTGCATTTGGCTAAGGACACTGGTCTCGGGACTCTCAAAAAACATATGGATATTTTCCTTGCTGGGATCACTTGATCCCAGCTGACTTCCTGCCTATGGCAGGGGGGCTGGACTCGATGATCTCACGAGGTCCCTTCCAGCCCCTAATGTCTTTGAAGTCTATGAACTCACTTTGCCTAAGGAGAGAGTGACTTCACTCCCGCTAGTAGCTCTGCTCGGATGTCCCACAAGAAGCCACACCTGTCAGCCAGCTCCTAACACCAGGCCTAAAGGTGTTTGTGCATGAGTGGGGATGATAAAACAGGTGTATCACTTTGTATGCAGCCTGTGCCCTATGGGCTATGCTCCAGATGATCTGTGTGATCTTCTTTCAGCCAATTACTGACCAGCCTTGACCGGCTAGCAGGACAGTAGTGCAAAACAGGGTCACCTGAGCCCATCTGGATTGTGTTTGCCCATCTAAGGGCCTCATCCATCCAATCAATCAATATTTATGGCTCCATCTTTGCCATTACAAGGAGCACTAAAAAGATAGACATAAATCTGTGCATCCAAAGTGCATCTGCCTGGTTGTCCACCTGTGTGACAGGGCAAATAAATTACAAATAGGGTCTGGTTTTGAGGACAAGAGCTGTAAAATGTGCAATACACAGCCCAAGGCATAAAAACAACTAATAGTAGGGGATATAATTAAATCAATGGGTGTGCGTAGGGGGAAGCACTAGAAATCTGCTTGATTTTTCAGGTGATGCCTATTCCCACTGTTCTCTTCCTGCTCACATACTGCTTCTTTGGCCTACTTTTACAGACACCTTAACTTACAAAAGCATCTCCCCCTTCCTTTCCTCTCTGTTTTTGTTGCTGTAATCCTTTTTATTCCCCCCCCCTTACCTTTTCTTTGCCCTCCGTTCCCCTAAACCCACTCTTGATACATCTATTGCCCTCTGATCTGTCCTGTCCTCCACCGTCAGAGCTTTCCAGGCAAATGCTGTCTGCTCCCGAGATATGGCGTATAACATGCCTCACTTGGCATATTAACCTAAGTGAGGATGGGGGAGCTGGGGGAGGGGAGGGGGCAGTGGGAGAAGGGGGTGCAAACCATTGAGTTGTGAATGGGAATTTACCCAGTGTGCATATGTTCTCCTACATTGCTTATTAGCTCGGTAAATGCCTCTTGTAGCCCATTTGAGTCTGACTGTACAAGCAGGGCCATATACTGCTTTAGAGAAACTTGCTAGTGACTTAGAGCTGATGAAAAGGGGCAGGTTGTCACCCCCAGTGATTTAAAGCCCCTAGTGAATAGAAGCAGGGCTAGCAGCACAGGGCCGTCTCCTCCCCCCACATGTGTGGCTTCACCAATGTACCAACCTTGACCTTGGAGAGACCATGTCTCAGCAGTTTAGTCCCCATGGCCTGTTTTGAGACCATGCCATGAGTGGTAGGGGTGGTTTGTGCTGTGGAAGTTTACCCAGTAACAACTGCTGTGTGAAAAAGCAGTGTATTGCACATACACAGTCAAACAGGCAGCAGGTGGGAGCAGTTTTCAGTTGCTTCCAAACTGTGCTGGATTCAACCAACAACTCACAAGGCTCCATATCACATGGCCGCTCTTCTGAGTCATTTATTCTCTCCAATGCAGAACTGCATTACGCCTTCTGGTGACTTAGTTTCCCCATCCTTGCTACCAGCAGCGGATCTGTACTACAAGTAGTAAAAGTATAGGGAGAAGGCTAGTGTTAGGTGCAACCAGCATATAGCTAGGGTTTGGGGGGCATAAGGCAAACAAGCTGTGTTGTTTGCTTTTTGCATCCTAGTAGCATTAATGTTTTAAAAAAGCACCTACATGGTTTTGACTCCTGCATCCTGTTTCTAAAGTGGCTGAAGCCTAAGCGATGCTGAAAAGCAACAAGAAATAGAGGCCAAAGTACCTGAGGCCACTCTAAGAGTTGGACTTGAGTCCAGGTCCTTTAGGTGCTATTGGAAATTTAACCATAATGATAAGGGGCCTTGTTGTGGTAGGCATGATGCAGACACATGGGGAGAGACATGTCGCAAATAGCTCTGAGCGCAGTAGATAAGGCAGACAGAAGTGTAGAGTGGAAAGGTGACTTGCCCAAGGCCAAACGGTAGCTCAGTGGCAGAGCTGAAACAGGCCCATGTTGCCTGTCGAAGCATCCACTAACCCAGGCAGCCTCCCAGGTTACTGATCAATCCGTGTTAGCCCTCGAGCGACCTCCCCGGTTCCAGGACAGGCGCAGCAGACTAGAAGGCATATTCTGATGATAGGATCAACACTTGTTGGCAGCAGCTTGTCAGGTCCCCAGTGCTACGTTAGTCCCAACTGGCTGTTGGGAGCAGCAGCTAAATACATGGCGTGCAAATTGTTCCCAGCGGAGAGGCTCCTGTAAGGAGTTGTTTCTCTTACTAGACATTGCTGCAAATGAGCGTGGACTGGACTGGGGTTTTTTTTGTGTGGAACAAGGCTGATCTCAAACAAAATCTCTCGCCCCTGCTCCCTGCAGCACCTCTGCTCCAAGGTCATTCCAGCTGCCTGAGGACGAGCTGGGAAATCAGGTGTTAGGGGAGGGAGGGCAGGATCCTCCCCCGGGGAGGGGTTGGGCACTGCACCAGGTGGAGCCCGCCGAGCGCTCGTCATTCTCCAGTCCCTGCTCTGGGCACCTTAAGCAAGGGGCTGGGCAAGTCCCGGGACAGGAGGCCACACCTCCGTGCTGTGACCTCATGCACAACACGCTCAGCAACCTGCGAAGGGGTCAGATTGCAGGCGGCACAGGTAGAGCCCATCGCACTTCCTGCCCTGCCGGGGAGGAGTCTGGGGGAAGGCAGGGAGCAAGGCCGAGGGAGAGTGACAGCCGGCGATCTCTAGCCATTCGGGGGAAAAAAACCTCCCACCATGAAGTCGGACAGAGAGGAGAGCAAGCCTGGTACGTGCGTGCCACCGGGACGCCACTGCCCTGCCCAGGCTAGACGTGGGTTAAGCGAGGGCTGAGCTTGCGACTGTGTGCAGTTGAGTGCAAGGAGCCGAGCGAGCGAGTCTTCCTTTCAGGCCTCGCCTATTGTCCAGCGGTGCTTCCCGCGGGTCGTTACATTAATTGAAACAGTCTTCCAGTCTCCTTCCTCCCCGCTTCCCCTCCTTTCCCCTTCCCTCTTCCCCTGCAATCCTCGGTGCTCCTATCCGGGCAAAGCTGCGTATGGAAAAGGGAAAAAAAAAACAAAAAAAAACCCGGTCTGTTAAGCACAAGCATGTGTGTGGAGCAGATGTTGCAAGGGAGTCGTGTGGGAAAGTTCTTGCTTTTAAAACTCACAAACGACTTGTTAATTTGCTCGGGGATGTTTTAACCGTTTGCGGGACTGCCCTTGACTCTCGTGGCATGAGGAGGAAGGCCCGACGCCGGGTGTTTTGTTGAGTACAGAGATCTTGAGAGGCGGGTGTGCTGCGATCCCATGAGCTGCAGGCCAGAAAAAAAAATAAATCCCCAGATTTCAGGTAGGTGCGAGCGCTCAGTCGCTAGGTTCAGGATTGCAGCGCGGCGAGGGGAGTTTTAATATCTGCTCTGAGGAGTGCTTGCCTTTAAGAGAGTGGGAGTGGCAGAGGTGCACTCCTTGCCTGAGCTAATCTCGACTGGCTTTGATGCTTTGATTTCGATGAGTGTGATTGTGGGTTCATTTATCTGTGCAAGGTTTTAGGGTTTGTTTTTTTCTGAAGTGTTTAAGACCACTTGTAAGCCCGGGCTCACATACTGCCGAGTTGTTCGCTAAGTGGCTTAGAAAGAACTGGCTTCCTTTGTAAATTTTTTTTTTTTTCATCCAGGAGGATGAAAGATTGACAAGAAATGGGGAATGGCTGCATTTTTCCTTTGGCACTTCAAGAGATATAGAAAGGGACATTACAGTGGTAGGATGGCGCAAGTGGTGTTAGGCTGTTTTGTATATAGTTAGCTCGTCTTGCATCGCAGTGGAAACTGGAGAGAAGTTTAAGTTCATAAACTGGTTTGTGAATGTGCTGCCAGTTTATAAGCTGACCCCTCCCTTTGATCAGGATGGCTGTTCGGGAGGCGTTCAGGCCGGGGCTATGGGGAGATGAAGCTGAGGAATTTTCTCCAGCTGCCTCTCGGAAGTACTTCCTCTTTCACATGCTGACGAATCAGATCAGCAATTAAAGAATTGTGGGGGGGTTTTGCAAAAAACTAGTTGGTCTAATAAAAGAGATCACCTCTCCCACAAGTCCCGATTCCTTTTGCCTCTAGACCAATACAGCTACAACCTGGATGCCTGATGAATCGGATTGAAATTTTGCTGCAAAGCGCTGCTCAAGTAAATCCTCACCCAGTGTAACTCAATATACCTTCATTGATCTGACACTTTCTTTGCAAAGGAAGATCGCTATAAGTGTCTTTCAGGTTTCTTTTTCTCCCCTGTGCTCCTCCAAGCACCCTCTCAAAATCGAGTCCTCCAGTAGTGGACTCTGTCCCGCAGCACGAGAAACCTGCCAGCCTTCACTTAGACCCGGAGGACGGGGAACAGGTAGCTGCAAGCAGAATCTGATTGGTTGAACTGCGGATATACGTGCTTGGTTTTATTGTTATTGTTTAAAAAAAATGTGAACGTAGGGAGTTGGTAAGGTGTCAGGTGAGCATGATATAAATAACTTTGCGGTGCAGGCCATGGGTTTGTATAGTGCCGCTCCTCCTACTGAGATACGGTCAGCATGACTAGTAGTGCTGTTATCTCCTGTGATAGTGCGATACCGTGCTATGTTATCGGGGGGTGCAGCTGTGGTCCGAATAGTCTGTGTTGTAGCTACACATGTGTATCAGTATAGATAAATGCACATGCTCTCTGAATACAGTTTCTGAAGAATCGTAGGATGCAATTTAAAACAATTTTTTTTCTTCCTTAAATCAAAGGATTGTGACAAATCTGTGGCAAACTGTGACTTCGTGTCCATCACCCTGCTGGACAGCTTGTTCACTTGGGACTTCATGGCAATAGTGGAGGGAAAAACATAGACATTAGTTCCCAGGAAGACTTTTACCATTTGAACTAAAATAAAATCCTCACTAATTCTGTCTGTCTAGGTAATATGGCATGTATGAGGGCACTCCAGCTCCCGAAGAGTAGGGGGCAGGAGTAGAGATGCGCACGTTCTTGCTACCGCATGTTAGATGAAGTGGTGATGTATCTGTGACTTTTGCAATAAACCCAGGCAGTGCTTTGAACAAAAGTATATAAGAGTTTTATATTCTTAAGAACTTGTAAGAAGAAATGTGGCTTGGGTTTGGTTCTCCAGACTGGAGAGAGACGCTGTACATAGAGGTGTCTAGAAAGGTGGTAAGATGCCTCTGTTAGTAGTGGTTACAACACTTAAACGGGCACCTGTTGAGTAGACCCTAACTACTGCCACTCTGTACTCCAGACACCTAAACACATTAGCAGATTTGGCCCTTCATCTGTAGAGACCTTTGTCATTCATCTCATTGCTTGGGATGAGAAGGACTAGATCAAATTTAAATCCAGGGGTCAAACCCCTCCAAAAAATCTAGTGGGCCTCTGCAGCTTCTTAGTTGCTCTGGTAGTGAGCTCAGCATCTGCTTTTCAAGAGATTTGTAAGCTGTTGGCTCTTCCTCCTTCTCCTGCCTGACCCCATCCGATGCTGATCTCAAAAGCAATAGAGGCTGCAGAGCACTTTCCAAGATAGGAACTGGAGTTTCTTTTTCTTGTCGTGCCTGATCCCGTTGACCAGACTGAATCCCTTCTCTTTTTTCTGGAATTGGTTACAAACGTAGAAGACTTATTATTAGCATCACTCAGTCTCCTTCCCTCTGGACTTTCAGCCGGTCTCAGTTTAAAAACAGGCAAGCTGGATGTGGAGACGATGCATCTAGTTCTGGTTTTGTGATCCTGAATGGAAAACAAGCTAGGGAAAAGCTCAGTCGTTAGCCAAGGGGAATATCCTGGCAATTCATTGCTTCCTTGAGGTCAATTAACTTTTTGGAGCCTTCTGGCCCAGCGAAGCTTCCTCATCAAGTGGATTGTAAATGCCAAGGATGTTTGAGTGATCTGATCCTTCCGGGTTTTTTCTCAGCTCTGTTTGGCTGCCTAACAAGCCTTTTGCCCCGTTTCCTTCAGAGGTTTTCCCCTGGAAACTCCTCCCCTGCGTTTCAGCGTTGTGTGCGAGATATTTCATTCCCATCCATTTTTTTAAGACCCTTTTAGGGCAAAGCTGATCCCAAATGTCGTGTGCCTTTAAAAATAAAAAATTAATTTATCCAAATGAATCCAGGATACTGACTTTGACTACAAAGATGCTTCTTTTTATCTGCTGCACTGTGATAAGTCATGAGAAGCTGGAAGCTAAAGCTGTCTAGCCACTGACTAGTGGCAAATATTATATTAAAATTTCAGCTTTCAGTTGGGAAGGGAATGTATCCCTTTATCCTCATAAAGGATATTGGCTGTTGAGATATTGGCCGTTTGCAATAGTGTCAAGCCTGAAGTGGAAGCAGGGCTGAATGCAATATAGAAAACAAAAATGACATGATTTTGTATCCGTGGTAGAACCAGACTGATGGGACCAAGACCGCTGCTTGAATTGCATGACCTTTGGTGGAGCAGTCATCCGCTGTGGTCAGGGGATGCTCGATGCACTCCTGCGTGTACATTTGGTTGTTTTTCAGAAGTGCCATAAGGCTCGAATGGCCTCACTCTGTTCTGCCAGGCACCAAGCAGCACAAGACATTCTTGAAAACGTTGCGTCTTCAGCCAATTTCACATCTCGGGAACTGGAATTCTTCATAGCCAGAATTCGTGCCTCCTCCCAGGCTTCTCTCTTTTCATCAACTGAAGCATGTATTGGAGCTCCTTACCTGAACTGACTGTGGCATCCTGCACGATAGGCAAGGTTGCCTTTAATTTCCATCCAAGGTATTTTTTGGGCTTAGCTAGAATCGTTCCCTGTCTTTTTAACATTCCCTTGCTGCTGTTTTCACCTTTTCTATTGATTTCATTTAGTTTATCCCCATCCGTAAGGCATTTGTATCCTCCTCTTGTGAAATCCCTGCTCCCTTTCTGGATCCAGCACAGTAACAAATACACTTATTCATCTTGAAAAGCTGCCCCTGGAGCACTGCATTCTCCAGTGCGAGAGTGATGATAAACTTTTCAAAGCCCTCTTGCTTTAATCCTCCCACTCTGCATGTGATGTTGATTAGGGAAGGTGGAGGAAGGGGCAGCCTTTTCCCTGTGTTTGTAGAAAGGAAGAGTGGTCCAGTGCTTAAAGCCCTAGCTTGAGAGGGCAGGTTCAGCTCCCCACCTTGCCAGAGATGCTTGGTGCAGGCAAGACGCTCGGTTTGAACATGAGTTGCATTGCAGAGATGGGGAGGTGCTCGTGCACGGCAGCGTTGGGGACACACAAGTACGGCGGATGGGTTTGAAGAGCATCTGGTATGGTGAGATTTCCAGTTCCCAGCAAGACCCTCTGGGCTGCAGCCCAATAGTCACCTTGGCATCGATTTAACTCATGCTTCCATCACCAAGGGTCACTTTTCTCCTCCTTGCCAACTTGTTGCCCATATACTTCTCCCATGTTAGCAGCTATTCTCCTTTCTCCCGCGTGACAAGGATCAGCCTCTCTGCGACATACTTCTTTTGCTCAGCCTTTTTTCCAGACAGTTGAAAAATGTCAATGCCCGGTGATACATAAACCTCCTATTCCCGCCTGTGAAAACAGACACTCTTGGAAATCACAGTTATGCTTCTTCTTGCTGTGTTGCCAGCAAAGGTGTCTTTGTTTTTTCATTATAACTATCTCTATTTCTTTCTCAGGGAATTGCATAAATGCCACTGGGTTCTCCTCTGGACTCTTTTGTTGAACTTCTTCAGCAAGAGCCATAACCTTTGCTCCCAGCAGACTAATCATTGTCCCATTAACTTGGCTTTTCTTTTTGGGCTTTATTGGAATGTCTATCTACCCCGGGCAGCTTATGTCTCTATTTGTCTTTGTCTTATTTATACTACAGATGTGGTCAGGAAAGCCATCAAATATACTGTATCTGTGCAGTAACTTGAAACCACATGAAAACTGCTGGGTTTTAAGTTTCCTTATAGTATCACACCAAGGCCTAGTTCAAACCAGATTTATGGGTTTGCATTGAGAGTAGAAATGCCTCTGAACTTCAGAGGAGGCGCACTTCCTTTGTGAACACTTAATTAAGCCTCACATTTACTCTGTCAGGTCATGTACTGTCTCTACTCCCATTCCACAGAAAGAGAACTGAGGCTTCAACAGGCTAATACATCATTTATATACAGTCATAGGGGAAATTATTGCAAATATAACCTGGATCACCACCGTTCTTGCAGTTTAGCCACAAGAGCGGATTTCCACCCCTTCGTAAGTGGCAAAAGCCAAATTGGACTAAAACAAAATGGGGAGACCATCTTAAAAGACCAGTTGTTGAATTTTAATGTGTGATATGCACGCAGTAA